CTTATTAAGATCTAGTGAATGCCCAAAGGCTGCCCCCAGGGAAAGGTGAGCAATGAGGAGTGTCATAGAAGGATAGCCTAAAAAAGTTAGATAATGAGACAAAATGGGAAAAGTTTACTTGAAAATGTGTTTTCAGTAGCTCAAAAAAGGATGTTTGTGCTAAGGAGTAGTTTTAGAGGGTGTGAAAGCTGACTTGGATAAACACATACAATAACCACTGCTTTGTTGCAAAGTATCACAGATTCAGACTCATGTAAAGAGCCCAGCAGCAGAGGCTCTCCTCAGAGAGACGCCCTTCCAGGCTTCCTCCAAGACTGAGGAGGTGAGATGAAATGCCCCCTTCTTGATAGACTCCATCTATTACTCTGACCTTGGAAAGAGAGGTTTTTTTTCTCCTTTAAATATAGCTCAATTTATGCTAATTTTATAAAAGGTTAATGGACTGGCAAAATCAGAAAGTAAGGCACTTGGAGTTATCTTGTGGGTAAAATCTTCTACTAAAGCTGGGGGTCATCCTAACTTAATAAGAATATTTCTAATTAAAGCAAATACTTAGCTTTAGAAAATACCACCTGAAACAGCACCACAGCACTCCCATTGCCGATCACCGGAAAAGAAAGTGAATAGAAAACAGACAGACTAATTAGCTCTTGAAAGTTCCTGAAGAATAGCAACGTCATTACGTATAAAGTCAATACCAAAAATTCGTTGTCATCCATGATAGCATGACAGGGGTCACATGGTAACGGCAATTTGGGCATCATGGCACGGATCACTGAAATCCAAAGTTTCACTTCAGCCATTCGTTCCAATCTTTTCCTATCAGATCTTTTAGCAGACGTGGTAGGAAGAGAAAGGGAAGAAAAATAAGCCTTTATATAGTACCTACTGTGTCCCAGGCACCATGCTAAGTGCTTTTTCATGTATCTCATTTGATTCTCACAACAATCCTGGGAGATAGGTGCTATTATTATCCCCATTTTACAGCTGAGGAAACTGAGGCAGACAGAGGTTATGTGACTTGCCCAGGTCACACAACTCGTAAGTATCTGAGGCTGGATCTGAATTCAGGTCTTCCTGACTCTAAGCCCAGTGCCCTATTCACCATGCCACCTAACTGCTAATTGTTAATGGATACGTAAGTGAAAAATCACACAAATAGGGAATCTGACTGATTTGAGTTTCATCATCTTTTTCCTTTCCCACTCACGCTCCTGCTGGAAGTTCTGAGGGGCAGTGATATGGTTAATAATTCAGTCAGCAAGAGAAGAATTGAGGGGCCTAATAAATCCATATAAATTAGATAACCACTTCTGAAGATCAGTCATTGGCTGAATGTCAAGTAGATGCTCTTACCTTAAAGTCAACTGTCAGTGATCTTTGAAAGATCACGGAAAATGAGAGAAGTGCCATAGAAATAAAGGAGGGCAAATGTCATGATTTTCAAAAAAAAAAAAAAAGGGTAAAGAGAATGGAATCTTCAAACCAGTAAGACTGAATTCAATTTTTGGTAAAATTCTAGAACACATTAAAGGGATGGTTAGTGAACATCTTGAAAAGGAAGCAGTAATCACAAGGAACCAATAGAACTTTATAAAAAATAAGTCCTAATAGATTCATTTCATTTTCTTTTTTGACAGAATTGAGAGAATGGCTGATCAGAGGAATGTTATAGATATCATTTAATTAGATGATCATTTAGCAAAGTGTTTGAAAAAGTCATGTATTCTTAGGGACAAGATAGGGAAAGGAAGTAAATGAGCATTTATTAAGTGCTTACTATTTGCCACTTTACACATTTTATATGGAGAGAGGCGGGGTAGATGATAATACAATTAGGTGGATTTCTAACCCAATGAATGACCAGACTCTAAGAATAGTCATTAATGGTTTTGTGTTATCTTGAATGCAAGTTTAGAGTTTAGAAGGAATCTGTGCTTGGCCTTGTGCAGTTTAACAATTTTATCTTTGATAAATAGATGGGTGACGTGTTTATCACATTCATAGATGATACAAATTAAGGAAGAATAGCTAACACGCTGGGTGAAGGAATCAGGATATAAAAAGATCTTAATAAGCTAGAATGCTGGACCAAATAGGATAAGATGAAATGTGATAGTAATCACTATAAAGGCTGTAGGGGATAAAAAACATCACCTTACAAGTACAAAATGGGGAAGGTATGGGAAAACAGAATGTCATTTGAAAAAAAATTTGGAGTTTAGTGAATTGTAATATTGGCACTTCTGCATTAAAGAAGGGCAAATGTCCTTTATCTCATAAAGAAGGGAAAAGAAGGGAAGAGAACAGTGGAAAGAGAACTGGGCTTGGAGTCAAGAACACTTGAGGCCTAGTCCTGCCTCTTAAACTGACTAGCTGTGTGACCGAACCCCTCTGAACCTCAGTTCCTCATCTGTAAAATGGGGATAACAATTCGTGAAATATCTACCTCACAGTGTTGTACTGAGCATCAAATAAGACCACGTCTGTGAAACTGACTTAGAAATCTTAAAACATTATTTAAATTTCAGCTATTATTAAATGAGTCAGCGTGGCACAACATGGCAGTCAAAAAACTGGCAAGATCTTAGGCCGCATTAAGGGAAGCAAAGTTTCCAGGATTAAGGATGTGATCAATCCCATAGTGCCCCTGTCCAGACTGAGCACATTTGGGGCAATGTGTTCGGTTCTGGGCATCATATTTTAAGAAGGGCATTGATAAACTAGAGAGAGTTCAGAATAGGGTGATCTGGAGAGGGAAGTGAAGATTTAGAAGAAATATGAGAGCTCTTTTCAAACATTTAAAGGGCTGTCCTCTGGAAGAGGGATGACACTTGTTCTGCTTGGCCCCAGGGGGCATAAATTGGCACAAAGGATAAAAGTAATAATCTCTGTGTGACCTTAGGCAAGTCGCTTACTGTCTCTGGGCCTCTAATGTCCCTTCTAACTCTACATCTATGATTGTAAAGGTCAGGGAGGTCGGAAATCAAGCAAAGGCCATCAGATTTGGTAAATAAGAGGTTACTGGTGAGTGTGTAGAGAGCAATTTCAATACAGCATGACCCTTTAGTATAGTTTTCTTTTAGATCTGTCTTCTATTTCTGGAAATGGGAATCAGTGGAAGAGTTAATTACTTGGTTGAATTTACTCTATTCTACAAATGGAAATAAATAAATAATAATCATAATAGCTAGCATTTACATAGCTTCTGAAGGTTTGAAAAGTGCTTTACAAATATCTCATTTGATCTTCACAGCAACCTTGAGAGGTAGGTGCTATCATTATTCCCATTTTACAGATGAGGGAATTGACGAAGACTGAGGTGAAGTGACTCTTTCAGGGTCACACAGCTATTAAGTGGCTGAGGCAGGATTGATTTCAAGTCTTCCTGATTCCAGGGCTAGTACTCCATCCACTGTGCCACTTAGGTGCTGATTGCTAAGGCATATTCAGTAAAAATCACACAAAGTTGGACAAATTGGGAAGATGGCCAATCTGAATTAGTTAAAAGTATGAAATATATAGGATTTCTTAGATCTATTATTTTTTAACAGGTTCAGGTACACAGAAACCATTGCCCGTTAGAGATTCTGGCTTAGCAAAGAGATAAGAAAGATGATATGAACACGAACACATCAAAGATACCAGCCTATAGACTGCTGGTTCATAATTTTGCTTAGAAATGGTTTTTATAATGCAGAAGTTAAATATTATCCAAATCACAGCAACCATAGATTATGGATTTAAGATTCAGAGAAATAAATTTGAGCTTGCTCAAAGGAAAAACTAACTGATGTTTGGAGTTATTCCAAAGCATGATGGGTTTCTTCAGGAGGCACTGGCTTTCCCCTTACTAGAAAAGACTGGATGACCACTTGTTGGGTAGCCAACATTCTTGGCTAGGTGTGGGATGGAATGGATGGGTCCTGAGGTCCCTTCCAATGCTGAAATTCTGTGATTCTATGATCCATAAAGCATATGGATATAGAACAGAAAAAGGAAATATATAAATATACAAGCTATATACCTGGCACCACATGCTTATTTGCATACAGCCAGCAGATTGCTGCCCATAAGAATCTCTTATATATGACTCGAGAGAAACAGAATTTTAAAAAGATGTAAATGCTCCAATTTTCCACTGGATTTTAAGTGTATCACTTTAGACATTCTTTCCAATGATGGTAATCACAACCCACCCACACTTTTTCATCTTGTATGATTTAATGCATGTCCTCTCATCAGAAAGCCAGTGAGATTAATTCCCATTCAAATTAAAAAAAAAAAAACAAACCCAACAAAAGCTACATAGGAAATAAGTGGGAGAGCCAGAACTCAAACCTAGGTCTTCCGACTTCAAAACTGTCTACTGCTGACCAATCCCTCCTTGATACTCTTTCCTCCCTTGGTATTGATGATACAGTACTTTCCTGATTCTCTGACCTGCTCTGCTCCCTCTCAGACTCTTCTGTTGGTTTCTCTTCCTTTTCCTGACTGCTACATCTGGATGTCCCCTAAAGCTGTCTCAGAACACTCTCTCTCTCTTTTTTTTAAACAACATTGGTCCCTTTATCTCTCTAATAATAGCAAAAAGTAACCTCTATTTCCTTTGTGCCCTCCTGGAATCCAACACAGTGTCTCTATGAAATGGCAAGGCTCTTAATTAAATGCTTGCTCACTCAATGAACAAACGCACGAGGCCTTGTTAAGGCTATGTTTTTGTGGCTGTTCAGTCATTTTCAGTTGTATCCAACTCTTCATGACCCCATTATTTTCTTGGCAAAGATACTGGAGTGGTTTGCCATTTCCTTCTCCTCTTCATTTTACAGAGAGGAAATTGAGGCAAATGGGGTTAAGTGACTTTCCCAGGGTCACACAGCTAGCAAGTGTCTGAGGCCACATTTGAACTCAGGAAGATGGGTCCTCCTGACTCCAGTCCCTCCTATTTACGCCTTGCCAACAATTCAAGAAAGAGTCTCCCGCTGTTTCAAAGTGCTGACCTGCTCCTGGTGCTGACACTTGAGCCTCATTAGCTGCATCCGGTGTTCCTCCTGTAAGCATTTCACTTCTCCCACATAGTGTTGCTGCAACCTTTCCTCCAGGTCCTGGAGTTCAGCCTGCTGCTGCCAACGGAGTCTCTTCACCTCATCCTCAAACCTTCTCTCCAGATCCTCTTTCTCTTTTTGTAATTTCTCACATTTTGCTGTATTGAAGGCTGTGGGGAAAGGACAACAGAATTTTTTTGAATGAGAATAGAAAACTGTGACATAGCTTTGTCCCAGCTGCATTTGCAGGATAAGTGAGACCATCATCATCTATCTATGTATCTATGTATCTATGTATCTATGTATCTATGTATGTATGTATGTATGTATGTATGTATCTATCTATCTATCTATCTATCTATCTATCTATCTATCTATCTGTACACACACATATACATACATATATACACACATACATACATACATATATACATATATACATATACATATATACATATACATATACATATATACATACATATATATACATATATACACACACAAACACAGAGCGCTTTATATATTATATATACATACATACACACATAGATATATGTGTATATATATGTATGTGAATGTATGTGTGTATATATGTATATAAGTGTGTATATATGTATGTATGTATGTATGTATGTATGTATGCATGTATGTATGTATGTATATAAAGGAGATTTAGGTGGTCACGTGAAGATGCCCAAAGAGGAAGACTTAACCTGAAGGAAGAAGGCTCTCCTCAATCCCTCCTCACTAAAAAAGCCAAATGAAAAATGTTTCTCAGAAATGAATTCCAGACCCCTTTTCAGGCAATCAGGACCCAAGACGAATGAAGAAATCAATCAACAAACATTTATTAAGAGCCTACCATGTGCTAGGCATCTGTGCCAGGCACCAGGGCTACTGAGACAAAAATGATAATTCTGCCCTCAAGGAGTCAACACTTTATTGACATTTTCCTCCCTGCAACGAGTTTCTCTCTCTATATTTTTCCTGGGGGATGCACGATATTGGTGGAGGTCCATTCCCTAATTCGTGTCAAGTAAATTTTTTTTAAATGAGGTGGAATAATGATCATAGAATCATAGAATATAGTAATTATCAATACCTTCTGTACTTCTCCCATCTTCTCTCCTGCCCCTAGCTTGCTATATTTTTTGTTTCTTACTTCCCTGAAGTCTGGGGAAATAATTGAACCATTTCATCTTAAAAGCCTCTTACTCTAATACCTGTTAGGATATAACGTTGAAAACAAGAATGTGAACAAAGCACTTTACTTTGCATTCTGGTTATTATTATTTTTGACAAGACCTGGGATTCATCAGCATAGGTATCCTCTACCAGTGTAGTTTGCCACCCCCTCTGCACCTTCCAGCCCCAGGTGTCTGGGGGCATTGAGAGATGAAATGATTTGCACAGGGTGACACGGCCCGTATTTGTTGAGGGCAGAACTTGGGACTGGGTCTTCCTGACCGTGAAGCGTATTCTCCAACCACCATGCCACACTGCCTCTTACTATATATATGGCCTTCGTGGTTTGCCACGTGCCTTCCCCACCACAATGTTGTTTATACCAGAGGTGTCAGACATGTAGTCCCAAGGCTGCATGTGGCCCACAACACTCCCGAATGCACCAAACCAGATTAAAATGGAATTGAGAAATATTTCACAAAATAAAGAAAATAATTAAACAAGGATAACATTAATGTGTGGTTTTCTAAGTCAATATGCAGCTCACAGAGATCCTTATGTACCACTTAGTGGCCCCCGTTTCTATTTGTGGTTGATAACACTGGTTTATACCACCAGGATTTTGGAGCATTAACTACACAAAGCATATAGGCAAAGACCTACATCTGTGAATTCCTCTATGTGTAAATCTACAGTTATTTAGATACTTCAAGGATCTGCGGTTTCATCAGTGAGAGTAACAGTGATGTCAGACTGCCAGCCCTCCACGCCTCAGCAGAGGGAGTGGCTGAGTAATTGTGGCCAAAAAGTATCAATGCCTGGTGGTCTACTCTCTGGTGTTGAGCCCTTCACAACTTAGAGCTAGGCTGGCCCTCGGATGGCATACAGTCAGTTCATTGCTGGCCTTTCCAGCTTGCTAGGGTAGCATTCTACTGCCACAGCCTTTCAGGGTAACCATCTGTGGCACCTACTTCTACAGTACAGTCAATAAATTGAATAAGCACTTATTAAGCACCTACTACATGCAAGGCACTATTCTAGGTGCCAGGGGTACAAAGATTAAAATGAAACCATCCATCTCTGCCCTCACAAGATCACAGGATTTGAGAGCTGGAAGCAACCGCAGTGACCCTCAAGTCCAGCATAGAAGAGATGCCTATTATTATATACCTGACTGTTTTCACCTATCCCTCATTAGAAGATCTCTGACAAGAGAGAACCCAGTTCCTCTCCGAGGCAACTTTTGGAAATCTCTAATGGTTAGAGAGTTTTTCCTGATATCAGCCCTAAATTTTCTTCTTCGTACATTATCCATTGGTTATGGTTTTGCCTTCTGGGGTCAAACAAATCAGAGAACTCCTTCAAGTATCTTATCTACTATTAGGAAAAGGCAATGGAATAAGATTTTAATGGAGGATGTATCTTTCTATTTTATGTTAGATAGTCTATCTTTGATGGCTAGATATTTGCATGTGGCCCCTGAGGCTAGAAGAACAACATGGGAGTCTAAGCCATGATACGACAGAGGACAAGACCTGGACTATTACTGTGGGTTATATGTATAGGGCAATTCCACTGGGGAGAGGGTACCTTGAGATACCCTGAAGTCCATTTCCCTTTTGAGATGAGTCCAAGAGATCAGAGGAGTGACCCAAGGCTGGATGCCTTTATGAGCAACTGGATTAGATTTACCAGAATACTAGGAGAGGGAGGGGTTGCCCTTCTGGCTAGCACACAAGTTTGTTTCCTTTCTCAGGCCAGTCTAAATCATGAAGCGCTACTATGAAACTGGAGGGTTAGAGGGACTTGGGGAAAGTGTGAGATTCACTAGAGAAGGAGGTGACCATCATTCACTGTTTGTGGGCTCCTGTGATCCTCCTCCCACATTTCCAATTGCTGTTATATATTAAAAGAAATGATTATCTCTCATTTGAGATATGTTTGTGATGGGGTTCCAGCCTATCAGACTGCAGAAGATTCTGGGTAATAAAAGCAATGTGGGGACAAAGGCTAGGGTCAGAGAAGGGATTCCTATAAAGATGTCCCCAAAGAAATAAATGTTCTCTTGCCTCCAGTAAACTTTAAAAAATTCATCTACTGGGACATTTCTCCTACAGAGATTAATGAACATTAATTTAAGAGCATCAGGCAGCAGGATTCTTACTTCTTTTTTATTCAGGTGAAAAATGGTTAGTGCTATTCCAGGGCAGTGTAAATTCTGGCAATAAAAATCATTCCCATAAGAAGCCAGGGAACTCTACGGGTTAGAGTAGGTTAGGAGTGGGTAAGAGTATATAACTTTTGCCATACACACAATAACATCTGGAAAAGCAAGAGTGGAATCAGGGTCTAAGAAGTGGTTCTCATCCAATATCAGACCTGGAAGGAACCTCAGCGATCACCTAGTCCAACTCCTTTATTAGAGTAGATAGCCAGAGAGGTTAATATCACACTGCCAGCTAGTTTTAAGTAGTAAATGTGAGCTGATAACAAATAATGCATGTACATTGAAAGAAGATATCAAAAGATATGCCTATTAAAGCTATCTATGAATATATATATATATATATATATATATATATATATATTATATATATGAAAAAATGCTCTAAATCACTATTGATTAGAGAAATGCAAATCAAAACAACTCTGAGGTAACACATCACACCTACCAGATTGGCCAACATGACAAAACAGGAAAATGATAAATGTTGGAGAAGATGTGGGAAAACCAGAACACTAATGCAGTGTTGGCAGAGTTGTGAACTGATCCAACCATTCTGGAGAGCAATTTGGAACTATGCCCAAAGGGCTAGAAAACTGTGCACATACCCTTTGAGTCAGCATTACCACTTCCTGGTCTATATCTCAAAGAGATAATAAAAATAGGAAAATGACCCACATGTACAAAAATATATCAGCTTTTTTTTTTGTGGTGGCCAAAAACTAGAAATTGAGGGGATGCCCATCAATTGGGGAATGGCTGAACAAGTTGTGGTACATAAGTGTAATGGAATACTATTGTGCTATAAGAAATAATGAGCAGATAGACTTCAGAAAAACCTGGAAAGACTTGTATGGACTGATGCTGAGTGAAGTGAGCAGAACCAGGAGAGTATCATACACAGTAATAGCCATGTTGCACAATGACCAGCTTTGATGGACTCAGATCTTCTCAGCAATGAAAGGCCTAAGACAATTCCAAAAGACTCATGATGGAAAATGCTATCCACATCCAGAGAAAGAACTATGGAATGAAGATTAAAGCGTACTATTTTCACTTTTTTTTTTGTTTCTTCTTTCTCGTGTTTTTTTCCTTTGATTCTAATTCTTTTTACAACATGATTAATGTGGAAATATGTTTAATATGACTGTACATGTAAAACCTATATCAGGTTCCATGCCATCTTGGGGATGGGGGAGTGGAGGGAAGGGAAGAAAATTTAGAACTCAAAATCTTATAGAAATGAATGTTGAAAACTAAAACCAAATAAATAAATAAAATTTAATTAAAAAAAAAAGAGATGCCTAATACAGTATCTCACAGAGAGGAGGTGCTTAACAAGTGTTTGTTAAATGAATCAATGAAAATCACTGAACTCTCATTGTAACTGTTCATCAATTACCTTCACTTGGCAGGGTAGGTAGAGGCAGTAGCTAGATGATAGGTGGTACAGTGGCTAGTGTTCTGGGCCTGGAGTCAGGAAGATCTGATTATACAAGCTGTAAGACCCTGGTCAAGCCACTTAACCTTTGTCTACCTCAGTTTCCTCAACTGTAAAATGGGTATGCTAATAGAATCTACCTCTCAGGGTTGTTGTGAGGATCAGATGAAATAATATTTATAAAGTGCATTATGTATATTCAGTCATTTCAGTTGTGTCCAACTCTTCCTGACCTCGTTTGGGATTTTCTTGGCAAAGATACTGGAGTGGTTTGTCATTTTCTTCTTCAGCTCATTTTACAGATGAAGAACTGAGACAAA